GCTCCTAGTAGTACGGCCAGGAGCCCCTAGTAGTGTCCTTGCTCCTATAAACAATTATACACATGTCGATTTCTTGATTCTTGAAACGACTCATCGGCACAGCAAGCTGAGCTGCTGCAGCTTCCCGTAGGTTTGACCGTGCAATCTTTGCGACTTCGAATCAAACCTTTTCAAAGGCAGCCGCGATCACTGCACTAGCTATGAGATGCTATGAGCCACATCCACTCTGCAACTTTGTTGGCACCTCAAGGCAAGTGCTGGTTCAGCATTGCCCAAGTGCCTCAGAAATCGCCTCTCCTGCTTTGTTGATGTTCGAACATTCTGAGCTTCCTGCATGGAGCAGCTGTTCTGGGTGTCTAACTCCACGCAAACCTGAAGGATGAAAGCTCGTTTTTGCTGGAGCAGCTGTTCCAGCATTCCAAACTGCTTCTGCAAAGCTACCAGTGGCTGCCGGTGTATACTACAGTGCTCACACAGCACTTGCCTATGCCGTTGAAAAGATGCACCACTTCACAGGTGCATTGTGTGCTCCAAGGACTCACTGCCAAGTCCTGAATTGAAGAACGTCACATACAGGATCCCTGACAGGCAGGAATCCTGCGCCAGCCGTAATTCCGCGAAGAACTACAGTATATATATATGCTGTATATATATATGATATATACATAACATGTATATACCTTCTGGCAGTTGCAAGGCCCGGACTATGTGCTTGCAAAAGCATCTCCACGCACGCCACATGCTTCTTTTCCTCATCCAAGCGGTGAACTTATGTGATCACAAGTCGCTGGCATCCTAAAGCAAACTGCAGCAATTGAATGCATGGCAAAGATGTTCGCCTTGGCCAAATCCATGGGAGAGCGGCCATCCTGGGCTGTGACTTTTTTCATGCAACACTGTGCTTGGCTGCTGGTCCTGCCTGCGTCAGCACGTGAGGATCCGCTCCCGACCTTTGGCGGAAGTCGAACTGATTCGCGGTCACAAGTGGCGCTCGAGCAAAGGGATAATCACTTCAGGTGGTGGGGGATGAAAGCTGCTCTCACCACAGGGACATGGCAAGGCTGTACAGCTGTCACCAGACCCAGTGATCCAGCCCCCGGTGTTCACCCATACTAATATCATAATATATAATTATCTGAGAACTGCCTTCAGTGCGCAACCCTCATCCTACACCGCCAGGGGCAAGCTTGGACACAAACAATGACAATTCTTATCAATTATTGACACTTGATCAATATCAGTCCAGTGGAAGAGGGATCTTGTTAGTTGCACTGGCGTTTGACAAAACCAGCGTACTTTCGATATCTACTGTATGTTTAAGTCATCTTGGTTTGTAGAGGGTTTGGCAGGCTTCAAAGCGCCTCACAATGTGTAATTACTGGCTGCGCAGTGCTATGCAGCCCAGGTGCATCAGCAGCATTTTGACAATGTTTGGATGGCCATACCTTTGTGAGAAAGCGGCGATGCTGCCAGTTCCCAGTGCATGAATCTCCCTAGGATGCCAACTTGCATGCGTAATGGATTGGCATCTCACCTCGCACAGGCAGAAAGTGTGTCCAAGAACGTCGCACTCGGGTCCAAGTGGTCCAGCTCGGGCCTTTCCAGTTCTCTGCGCAAGAACTGACTCTGGCACCATGAGCTAGAAGCAGCGCCACGATCTGCGAACAACGGCTGACACAATCTTGTGCAAAGTACCATCGTCAAAATTCCTTCATGGTCAATTTCCAAAGTGCAAATTCCGAAAAGTGCATGGAGTCAAGCCTTGCTATCACCCTTCTTGGCTGAACAGTGTAACGCTGTAAGTCCAAAGTCATCCTCGACGTTCGGATCCTCCCAACAAACGACTCAGCGTCTAGCAGAACCAGCATTTTGGCAGTCATAAGCGCTTCCGGAGACACAGACTTACGTACTACTCAGCCCCTAGGCTATTGTAGATGCTACAAGACATTGTGAACCTCGCAATTGAATCTTTCGGAATTCTTTCAGATTTTATATTGAAACCTTGCAGAAAACCCTTTAGCCACAACAGGCCTAATCCTACGCATATGAAACTCACAGCATGGAATTTGGTTCTTTCATCTGTTCTTTCAGTCGTTTTCAGTCTGCGATTCTATGAATCACGTGTGAGTTTCTGTGAATGTCGGTGAACTATCTGATGTATTTTCACAATTTTCACCTATATAACTCACCTAGGGAGCTCTCGTCAGGCCCAACTTCGGCCTCGCCACGGTCAAGCAAGTCTCGCACCTGATCCCGGAGATCCATGCGTTTTGGCACAATTGCTTGTATACCAAATTGTAAGGAAGAAAAGGAAGAGAGCAACAACCGAAAGTGTTTGGGCCCCTTCAATAAGGCCCCTCGAAAGGAAACCCAAACACACCCTTTCTTCTTACGATTCCAGCGCTGTCTCACCCAGTTCCAAGTGTCAAACCGCTGCAAGGTCTCCTCTACCAGCGTGACGAACTAGAAGAGGAACTTTGCAAGCCAAGGCCTGATTTTGAAAGCAAGGAATGTTCATCTACCGGATGCTTCTGTGTTTGCCTCGGTCTTTTTGTCCTCCCTCTCTATCGACACCTCAGCAGCCGAACCAAGTCTACATGGGTCAAAAGTGAGAAGCTTAGGGCTTAGGGACCATACGAAGGCTACTTCATCACTAGACCAATGGCAATCCGCCTGACGGCACACAGATACAATCTGTGGTGTCGATGTTATCTTGTCTCATCAAATGCTCTGCACCTGTGATGTTCGGGTCAAGTTCACGAACACTGGATCCTGGGCTTGATGGGGCTTCTCACTTCTCCCCTTGGGGAGCTGCATTAGTTGTTGCTTTGTGCAAGGCGCCGAACAAATGCAAAAAACACAATAAGATTCAAGAGGGTTCAGGCACTGACTTTGCTGTGAGTCAAAACATGTCAAACCTTTTACTCCTCTGAACATCCTTAAGTAAGAATGAACGGGGAAGTGATGGGAAGTGTACACTCAGTGAGCTTCACATTTAGTGATTGGGGGGGTTAGGTGTTGACCCAAAGCCACTTGCCAAAAGCACACTACGTCCTGGGCATCCGCATGTGGAAACTGCACCAAGGAAGGCATGGGCATGGCTGACCTGAGGCTACTTTCGCATCCGCAAACAAGGTCCTCGACTCATTGTAAGTAATGGATGGCGGTGAGGGGTTTCTGATATGTTCGTCCAATGGTGTCAATGGTGCCTCTACCTGACTGGGGGGGAATTGAAGGCGAACGATACGCTACAAAGAGAAACAGTTGTTGCATGTCTTTAGCAGTTTGCAAGAACTTCACGTGTTGTAGGCAAGTCTTTGTGCAAGCTCTGTCGGCCATGTTTCTTTCATTTCGACAGCGATTCTACGTTCTTCAAGAACAACGCCGGAGAGTCTGACATGAGTCTGACATGCGACGTTGCCTGTACACATATATGTGTGTGCAAATGTGCTCGGAGACTCTTCCCCCACAT